ACGACAATTTTCCCGGGTTTCGGCACCAAAAATATCGTACACATACATGTACATGTCGACATACATGTTGACATAATAATATAATATGAAATGCTTACTGTGCAATTGGTTGTCTTTGTAGCTACAGTCAACTTCGCTTATAACGACACCCGGCGGGGCATCAGAAAGGTGTCCTTATTCGCGAAGTGTCGTTACACCCGAAGTCTCATTTTATGTATCACAGTGAGATGGAACTTTGCTCTGGGCATGGAAATTCTGTCGTTATTAGCGAATTGTCATTATATCCACAGTCGTTATTCGCGAAGTTGACTGTACATTAAAACTGCTGTCTGCGAAACGCTTGTTCACTTAAATAACATAAGAAGTGTCATAGTCGAAGTACAGTGCTGTTTTACTGAGGCCTTGCTGAGGCGTTCGGTTTTTCATGATTCTTGTTCGCATAGCTTCCCCTTTTCTTGATCTTTCCATCTTTTGAGCCACACAAGTTGTGTGCGGAATGTTGCTTTGCGTCCTTGAATCGTGGTTTGACCGTATTGTCGAATGGTCTTGCCAGTATCGTCATCGACATGCATGAACATCCGCCAAAGTCCTTCACAGCTTTCAGCTCGTGCTTATCTTGTTTGCGCTCACCTTCCCCTCCTTATGACCAAGTTATTGTTATTTGGTACATAACTTAAAACCTTCCAAGTTGGAAGGCTGTTGGTGTGCGCATCCAAGATGTGCTAGAGCTGTTAGCCAGTTAGTTGTAGAACGTCAGTACCGTCGGTCAGTGTCGTGCAGTGTTATCGCATGAGCTGATTGCTTAGTAACTGGTGGTGTTAGTGGACAGTATAGTGTAACTTGTAGTTCCTTGGTCCTTTTTACTTTTTATAAAATCCTTGGCTCTCCATCCGAGTTCATTAATATACTATTACTATTATGTATTCAACGGAGGACAATTTCAGCAGCTAACAACATGCATGCATCAGCATCAGCCAAAACAAAGCAAAATATGAACAGACGGGGGAAATTGTGAATGGACGGGGGAGAGGGGGGGGAGAGGGGGGGGAGAGGGGGGGGGAGAGGGGGGGGAGAGGGGGGGGGGAGAGGGGGGGGAGAGGGGGGGGGGAGAGGGGGGGGGAGAGGGGGGGGGAGAGGGGGGGGAGAGGGGGGGGAGAGGGGGGGGGAGAGGGGGGGGAGAGGGGGGGGGAGAGGGGGGGGAGAGGGGGGGAGAGGGGGGGAGAGGGGGGGGGAGAGGGGGGGGAGGAGGGGGGGAGAGGGGGGGGGAGAGGGGGGGGGGAGAGGGGGGGGAGAGGGGGGGGGAGAGGGGGGGAGAGGGGGGACAATCACACTCGCACCATACTATGAGTATTATGTGGAGCAGAATTCGAGGAATTGCCCGCCATAAGGTTTGTATGATTCTGCCAATTTCACTGCTTTTCGAGCACAATCTGCCACCTTTTCGAGCATTATCCGCCAATGCCTGCCGGCCTGTAGCTCTTTGGTCCTCTTTTCTTCTTATAGTAAGTTTTAAAATCAGTAGATTCTACATCATACTGTTCTGCTTTGCTAGCAGTGACGGCGAGTACGCCTGTACTGCTGCACAGTAAAACCTGTCAAGGCGACCACTCGGATAAGGCGACCACCTGCCCCAGAAGACCACTGTAACCAGGACCGAGGGATGCTATTTGCGTCTTAGACAGGTTCCACTGTAGTTTGTATGCTATGCAGATGAATTATTCTCTTCAACTTAGTATTTGTAAGCTACTAGCTTCAAGTACATGTACAGTGGAACCTGTCAAAGACGACCGCTCCCTAGGCCCTACTTTGAGTTTGACCTAGGTGTTGGCGGAAAATGCTCGGTAATATTGGATATAATGCTCTCAGTAATGCTCCACAAAAGGCCATATAATGCTCCAAATAATGCTGATAATGCTCCGCCGGATGGAATATAAACACCTGAACCTTCCGGTATTGTCCCGGGGCTAAGAAAAACGCTAAATAGTGCACCCATGCTATGATAAACACATAATACAATATCAGGTAAACATGTACGCTATGTACAAACACATACAGTCATATTGAGGCGGCACAAAGAGGATACGCCAAGAAGGACTTCTTGACCAGCTTCTGCCTCTGAGTTTCCCTCTCCAAAGTTGAAACGGGACTTTCCTTGTTTATGTCTCGCGGTTGCAATATGGGACATGATTATGCTCTTCTTCCCTGGCAATGTTGTATGGCATGCCAGGCACACTACCTTGCCACCGTCGCTTTTGAGCGGCTCATCTGGGAACTCCCGCACCCGCGTTTTGGCACTGATGGCCACTTCAGTGCTCTGTCCATGAGCTACTCGCGTCCTTTTGGAAACATTTTCAGACTTGGGGCTCCCCGGTAGTACATTGGGTACTGCACTTGCCTGCGACCCGAGAGGTCGCGGGTTCGAGCATCGCAGTCGCACATCTGACTGCAAAATCCCCACGACGCAGCTCACCAGATCAAGGTGTGGGTCCTCTGCACTCAGTAGAGTCAAGTCGAGCGAGCTTCAACTCCCGGTGCCGAAAGGCGGGCTAACGCCCCTACATGGCTACTTCCCCTTGTCTAACCCGCAAGACGAAATGATAGTACTATTAGTAGCAGACTGGCCGAAATTAAAAAAAAAAAAAAGACTTCGTAATAGCTGTTTTCTGAAAAGACCGCTTCCTCGCTATCGCTGCGGCAGGATCTGCAGTTTCCAACTCGACGACGGCACTATCATCAGAGGACTCCGCCAAAAGCTCATCTAGAGAAAGCCCAGCTTCCTCCCAATCCCAAGAACGGCATCGCGGCTAGTCAGCCATCAGCGTTGGCTGCTAGTTAGCTGCTATTACACAATGGTCAACGTCCGGTGAAAGTCCAGCGTTACTCTTCGACAAAGACATGGACTCTTGCTTCGATGAAGAATGTTTTTTTGTGGACCATGTGGACGGTAACCGGGTAAGGTCTGGAATGTGTGCGTGTGCGCACCTCCACCGTTCCATGCTGGCTCACATTTCTTTCGTTGGTTCGGCGTTGTTACCTGGATCTTCAAAAATATTATGACAAAAAGTAACTGGCCGAAGATAGACTTCCGGGACCGGAAGTTTCTGCGAGAGTTTCCACACTGTGCTGGACCACAGCACTACTGTTGTACTTGGCACTGCATGCCACGATCTGTATGGTAGATCTACCAGCAAGAGTACACATGGTAGATCTACCCCCCCCCCCCCCCCCCCCCCCCAGAATGTGCAACGCCGATCCAGCTCTGCATAGGGTCTTGGTCGAGCGGAATCGGATCTTCTGATGTCATGCGTACACTCCACACCAGCGCAAGGCCGGTCTCGAGGCAGGGCACCATTGATCCGAGAGTACCCGCGAATTCCCGGGTTCCTCTCAGATGTGTACGGTATTATGACGCAAAGATCCGATTCCGCTCGACCAAGACCCATATGCACAGCTGGATCAGGCGTTGCACACTCTGGGGGGTTATGTACTCTTGCTACCAGGCATGGTGTGTACGGTGGCCTATCGCTTGTAAGTAACCCAACGCAGTGTCTGCTCCAGGATTGTAGGACAGCCAGGTACACGTGTACCTGGCGCAACCGTTTCAACCGGGTCGGAGTCGGGTACACATGTACCTGGCGCTGTCTCACCAGCCGAGTCACATGCTTTAATTAAATGGTTGGTTGGTTTATTTTAATTCGGACAATAAACGGGAACTAGGCCCAATGATATAAAGGCGAATGGATAAGCCGCACTTAGAAAAGAGAGGACAGGAATTAGAAAATTACGAAAGAAGAAGTATCTGACACATACACGCCATGTAGTCAGTCCTTTCAAACTCAAAGTTCGAAAGTGTAAAGTACCAACCGGGTCACAGGTGACCCGGTACTATATTTTCAACCGGGTCCAAGCGCCGCCCAACCGGGTGGATTACCCGGCTCACCCGGCGCTGGAGCAGACACTGCAACGCTAGATCTACTGTGCAGTCATGTAGAACGTCGTATAATGCCATTTTTGGCCTCGTTATGCTTTATAATGCTCCGGGTGGTGTATAATGCTCGATATTGCCGGCATTATCCGCCAACACCTAGGTCACTTTGACCCCTACGTTACGCCAGCTGTACAGTCTAGTAGGGCTAGGGAGGTTAAAGCGGGATTCACAGAAGCTTTTTTGCGATGCGACACGCGATGCGACAGCCGCGAAACCGGGAAATCCCCAAATCGCAACCATCGCGGACCCCACGCAACTGCCGCAACAGGGCCATCGCAGGCCATCGCAGAAGTTGAGCTTGGCTCAACTTTTGCGATGCGATGCGATGCGACAAGCGATTTGGCGTACGATTTTGACCTTTTCTACAGCAAAGTTGTACAAAGGTCCAAGAGTTGCCTATAAATTTGTACAAGTTGTATCAAACCGCGCGAATATCATGGTGACGTAGCCAAATCAGCAAGACTTTGTCGCAAAGCTGACTTCTTCTGTGAATGGTATTTCGCGAGTTCGCATCGCACGCATCCATCGCAGATCGCGTCGCATATCGCGTGTCGCATCGCAAAAAAGCTTCTGTGAATCCCGCTTTAGTCCCACGTAATCCGTGGGTACTTTACGTGTGTGTACCGCGTGATATCACGCGGTACACGTGATATACCGGTATATCTCATGCATGAGCTCAGTGACCCACGTACAGACGTTTTCTGATTCACGACATATACCGTACAGAACAGCATTTCTTTACGTTACGGGAACGCGAAGAAAGTTCGCGTGATTCTTTGCGTCGCGTTCCCAAAACGTTGAGCAGAACCTCCCTACTGAGGGAGAAGGTGAGCTGAGTGAGGGTGAGAGTGAGTGTGAGGGTGTGCGCGTGAGTCGAGATTGTGTGCGTCCGTCTCGTAATAACAAGTCTTCAGTATACAATCATTTGGTTTCTAGTACTGACTGTTGTCGTACTTATTCTGATTCCTGTTTTTCTGTTTTGTGCCGTGCTCGTCATGGTTATCTTTTGCAGTTACAAGTTTTGGAAGCTGTTTGTCAGCGCATTCATAAGCCGAATTTGTGTGTCCAGAAAGATAGTGTTATTACCCTAAAATTGTTCAAATAATGTTCTTTTGTGTAGTGTGGCAACGTTGTTGCCACTTGTGCCTAAATGTGTTTTGTCACCTTCTTGTTTATTATTGTTATTATTATCATTCGTTCTCACTTTTTTGTTTTTGTTGCTGATACACACTTGTCACGCTTAGTTCTTACTTGTATACCCTTGTTTTGTGCACACTTTTGTGAGAAATAATAATAATAAATTATAACTAGTCTTTAGTCTTTATAAGCGAAGTCAGTTGACTGTACTGTACGTAGTAGCTAATATTGACTGAGTACGAGGTCAATATAGGAAATAAAAGCCGAGTAAAAGACCGAGGCGAAGCCGAGTTCTTTCACGACGTTTTTATTTCATACTGACTAAGTACGAAGTTAGTATTAGATTTATCACGACAACAGTCCGTATTTCAAATTCCAGAGCGTTAGTATTGACTCCCATAGATTTTTGCCATACCTAAGCAGTCAAATATTCCTGCATATTTCACTCCTTAGGGCTATATTGACCGCTTACTAGTATATTTGACTCTTTTTTAACGATTGAACACAGGCTTTGGCTAGTCGTGATAAATCTAATATTGACTTCGTACTTGGTCAGTATTTTTTTTGCTATGTTCACATAACCAGCCCCGAAGTGCTGCACGCGCTGTATATGACTGGGAACAGGTTGTCCTTCTAAAGCCGATGATTGGCAGGACTGCAGTCTGCTGCTGCATTGGGTTGGCTGAAGCTTACATGTACATCTTGTTGCAATGGTGCAGCATATTTTCTTTTCTGGCTGCAGGTCGGTGGAACACTCTTCCTCCAAACTGTCGTCAGGCACAATCTGCTGGTACTTTTGCTCACCTCACAAAGATTCACCTAGGGTTCCCTGTAACAAGGCCATGCCTGCAGTGTTGGGACTCCCCTAGTCAAATACTAAATACTACTACAGTTGCGCTCGATGAAATCCGGCCTGAAGTGCAAAGCCTGCGCCGCGAAGCCAGCTCCCATTACATCACTGGCGATTTGTGTGTATGAACTCAACTGTACGCACCTCGTGTAAAAGTTCGGAGTGCACGTGTTGCATGCTAAAAACAGTTCAAATTTTCTTTCATTCACTTCACTCAAGAACAGCAGGATCTTCTCGATAGCGGAGTACCCAACATCCTGTTTCAACCTCCCTGCTCGCCGGACATGAATCCAATCGAGAATGTGTGGGCTCTTCTCAAGAAGAGAATAATTCCACATCGCTGCGAGAATGCTGACCAGCTGGTGCAGGCACTGCACCTGGAGTGGGACTCGTTGGGTCCTGACACGGTTTCCCCATACGTGGAGTCAATGTCACGTCGTGTTGAAGCCCTAATCGAAGCTGACGGTGGCCACACAAAATATTGAAGCCCTGCTGTTCTGTGTATGAAATAAACTGCTTCGAAACGATCTCCGTCTTCTTTACTTGTGCTGAACTGAAATGAATGTTACACTTGTCTTTGTTTGGCGCGGTTTTTTACACTTTGGTGTAAGCATGCATGCGTATGAGTACAGCACATGCACAGTTCATACGGCACACGCGCACACTAGCACTTGTAAAACTTTGAGGGCGTCAAGGGCCGCACCAGTACTGGGCGCCAGTTATGCACTTCGGGCCGGATTTCACCGAGCGCAACTGTAGTACATGTACATACTACTACTACTCTTGAACGTCTGGTCGGCAAACCTTATAGTTTTCTGGCTCATGTTTCCTGCTCTTTCCAATGAGACTAAAATCGACGGGAGCAGAGCAAATTACTTTCAAAATCGTCCGAACACCCTAACTACAGTGCTGGCAACTGAAATCCGACCACCTGAGCGGTGGGTTCACTTTGCGATGTGAGCGCACCGCTCCGGGGGTCGGATTTCAGTTGCCAGCACTGTACATGACGTGAGGTGCACACGATGGTACAACCGTACACTGTACAGATGGATACGTACAATCAAGAGTAGTAGTAGTAGTAGAATTTATTATTTTGATAGGGAAGGCCCTACAGACGTTGCCGTCTTGTTACAGGGAACCCTAAGTGCTCTTTACAGAGCGAAACAAAAACGGATAGATGCTCAACCTGACGACACGAGACAGGCAGAGAATTCCACCTATCAGCGCCAAGGAAAGAAATGGAGAACATGCCATATCTAGTGGTAGCAGCGGGCAAAGAAAGTGAAGAGAATGATTGCCCTCTAGTGCGCCTCTCGGTGCAAGTAGCAGCCGACTGGAGAGTACATAACCCCCCAGACTCCAGAGTGTGCAACGCCGATCCAGCTCTGTGTAGGGTAGTGTCAGCCCAAATTTGCCGGCAATTCTTTTGGCATAATATCGAAACATTTTAGAAAAAGAATTGCCCGGCATATTTGGAGCATAATTTCGAATTTTTTGGAGATTTTCACCGTGATTTCGCAGATACTCGAAGTTTCACGTCCAGCGCCAGAGGTACATGCGTGTATTGTACTAGGTCCATGCTCAAAACTAAATTCCTTTGCACGGCAGCTTGGAAATGAGCATTGTGAAGTCAATCTTCACACTTTAAAATGTTAACCCAGCAAAACCGAGCAAATTTCGATGTTTTTCTGAAATTTTCTCCAAAATTTGGTCCAAATTTGGCGTTTTTGAAGCTGTCATTGAGCATAATCAGAGCAAAATATCGTCTTCGCCCGGAAATGCCAAGCATAATATCGAAAGAAGCGCAGCAAAATTATGCGGCATAATATCGAAAAGTCTCGAGCAAATAATTTGGGCTGACAGTGTAGGGTCTTGGTCGAGCGGAATCGGATCTTCTGATGTCATGCGTACACTTCACACCAGCGAGTACCCGCGACTCCCCGGCCGGGTTCCCCTCAGATGTGTACGGTATTATGACGCAAAGATCCGATTCCGCTCGACCAAGACGTTGCACACTCTGGGGGGTTATGTAGTCTTGGTACAATCATGGTACGGTGTGTCATGTAGATCTACATGACGTATCCAAAGCCAAGTACATTGACTCTTGAAAGAGGAGTCGAGTCCTACTCCTAGACTAGTCATACTGTACTACTACTAGTAGTAGTCCATTCATCATAATCAGCGGTCGGAACACCCCAGCTTGCAGTCCCCAGGGCCACGGCTGACTCGCGCTGTGCATATGGCAAGATGGCGTCTTTTTTACCCTAGGCCGCGCTAGGGGCAGGGTACCGGGTGCTGGCCATGCTGCCGTGGATAAGTGGCACACTATTTTATGCGATGCAGCGCGTTGGTCCCTGGATCAACAACAACTACATGATGCACTGTACGTACGTACAGCTGCAGCTAGCTACATCGATGACATGTGACGTCGCGACAGCGCGTTCTGGACTGTAGATCTACGCGCTGAGTGAGGGCGCCGGCCGCGGCCGGTCGACTGGATTTCCATGTCCGCTACAACGACGTGTGTAGTGTACATGCAGTGACTGACAGTCTGTACAGGTGTAGGGTCATGTACATGACGTGTTGACTGTTGACTCTTGTGTACACTACTACCCGGTACTACTACATGTAGTAGGATCTACTACTAGTACTAGCAAGAGTACATATAGCAATAAAAACTGCTTTATGGCAGTTTTCTAAAAAAAGTTATTGTGTTCTAGTCCATGGACCCCGTCTAAAAAGTAAGAAATTAACGAAATGTGATAGCTGAAAATTAAAATTTCACACAAAACCTCACAATAATCACAACACTTGAAATGCTGCTTTCAACCAGGGAGTAGTACAATACTACTCCCTGCTTTCAACACTAAACTTGTACTGCACCAACAATTGGCAACATGCATGCATAGGAAAGAGGATCGCGAGGGGAAGAGGTCTTCTGCATGTAGCTTTTCATTCTGTGTGTGATTATTGTGAGGTTTTGTGTGAAATTTTAATTTTCAGCTATCACATTTCGTTAATTTCTTACTTTTTAGACGGGGTCCATGGACTAGAACACAATAACTTTTTTTAGAAAACTGCCATAAAGCAGTTTTTATTGCTATAATTTCTTTTGTTTTTTCTGTCACCAATCAATGGAATGCCCTATATCAATATGTAAATGATGGCCTTCACATCATATCAATACCATATTATACGCATTGATGTGCAAGCCTTTTCTTGCAGAAAATGGCACTAGCATAATGCATGTTCTTCTGCGGGTAAACATGTGAGCATGCAGTGGTGGTTATACTTTTTTTATACGGAGGTCATTCTGTGCATGTTGCTGTTGCAGAATTTCATGACTCTGTCATAAAATTGTCTTGCCTTTCAGATATTTCAGATTTCTCCACCCTCAATCAGATTTATTTGAGAAATGTAGCCATGCGGCAGGTGCGTGTCGCAAATGTTTTTGTTGATTCTGTGTTTATAATGGTTTATAGTCATGGGTTATCGTGATAAGGTCATCCAGCATCATGTTGAAACTGAAATCGTAATCCTGTTGATGTCGATACAACTTTTGGAAGTAGTTCAATGACTTCAAACTGTTAGTCCACGATTGTCTAAAACAACACAGCAAAGGAGGAACAATAAACATGTATTAAAATGTAAACGAATACATTGCTGAGTCCAAAACCTCGTTCCAACAACTACACTGATCCTGAGGAGAAAAGGTACAAGGCTATGGTTGGAGGTACTGAGAGATAAACAAGGCACTCCACAATAATAAAATCTTACACATCTTTTGGTGAGTATGAATGATATCCAGTCGAACCTCTTTAGGACGAACACCAAGGGACCGATGGTATTTATTCTGTGAGCTTAACCTATTTTATAACCGGAGAATACAATTATATCTCCAATAGACATACGAATAGATTTCTTCTACGGCGAAAGATTCTAAGCCACACCAACTCATTGCCTCGTCTCGTATGAAACAATTGAGTCACTAGGGAGATTCTGCAAAACGAAAATGCGTACAAACTTTCGCTCTACATCATGAAGTGCGAAACTTCGCACCTTTGGACGCGAAACTTGCAGGGAACGCGAAATGAACTGTCGTAGGAAATTTCGTGAGGTCGGGTCATGGCGTAAGTGCACTTGGCCCGCGCAAACTACGAAAATGTGCAGAACGCAAAGTTCGTGCAAAAATTCGCACACACTTTCGCAAGGACTGTCGCGAAACTTCGTTCGAATTTTCGTTTTGCAGAACCTCTCTACTGAACCTTTCTTTAGCAACATGACGGCAACTCAAACAGCAACAGAGAAAGTACGATACATGTACTCCACATTCTTACAGGTACTACAAACAGATTGCAGATCGTAATTCTTGCTTTGGCGGCACGAA